CCCGAAGAACAGAAGAGTTGTGGGATAAGATCTAGAACATCATACAGAAGAAAGCAAAAAGTCATTGTGTAAACAAGATAGAGGGAAGAGACCAAAATGGATGTCAGAAGGCACTCTGAAACTTTTCTCTAGTGTAAAGATACTAAAGCAAATGGAAGAAGTGAGGAGGTACAAGAGCTGAAGAGAAAATTTCAAAGGTCAGGTCAAGAAGACAGTCAAATATTGTAATGAAATGTGCAAAGATCTGGAGTTAGCCAAAAGGGAAGAACATGCTCAGCATTTTTCAAGCTGAGGGAACTGAAGAAAAAATTCAAGCCTCGACTTGAGATATTGAAGGATTCTAGGGGCAAAATACTGAGTGATGCAGAAAGCATCAAAAAAAGATGGAAGGAATCCACAGAGTCACTCTACCAAAAAGAAATGGTCAATGTTCAACCATTTCAAGAAGTAGCATGTAATTAAGAGCCAGTGATCTTGAAGGAAGAAATTCAAGGTGCATTGAAGTCATTGGCAAAGAATAGGGCACTGGCAAATGATGGAGTACAAATTGAAATCTTTGAACAAACTGATGCAGCGCTGCAAGCTACCACTCATCTGTGCCAAGAAATATGGAAGACTGCTTCCTGGCCAACTGACTGGAAAAGATCTAGATTTATGCCCATCACAGAGTGGTGAATCAGTAGAATATGGAAATCATCCAACAATATCATTGTTTTCCCATGTGAGTTTAGTTTTACTAAAGATATTACAAAAATGGATGTAATCATACATTGACAGAGAACTTCCAGAGGTTTAAGCCAGATTCAGAAGAAGACATGGAGTGAGAGATATCATTGCTGACATCTAATGGATCTTAACTGAATGCTGAAAATATCAGAAAGATGTTTACCTGTGCTTTATTGACTACACAAAGGTTTTCCAGTTGTATGGATCATGAGAAGCTATGGACAACATGGCAAAGTTTGAATATTCCAGAACACTTAGTTGTGTTCATGAAGCACCTGTACATAGACCAAGGAGACAATTGTTCGAACAGAACAAAGGAACACTGAATGGTTTAAAGTTAGGAAAGGTGTGTGACAGGGTTATATTCTTTCACCATACTTACTTACTCATTCTGTATGCTGAACAGATAATCTGAGAAGCTGGATTATATGAAGAAAAATATAGCATTAGGATTAAAGGAAGATACATTAACCTGCAAAATGCAGATGACACAACCTTGCTTACTGAAAGTCAAGAGTAGTTAAGATACTGATGAAGATCAATGTAAAGAAAACAAAAGTCCTCACTACTGGACTAATAAATTACATCATGATGAATGGAGAAAAGATTGAAGTTAAAAACTCCATTTTGCTCAAATCAACCATCAATACTCATTGAAGTGGCAGTCAAGAAATCAAACGGCATATTGCGTTGGAAAAATCTGTTGCACAAAAACTCTTTAAAGTGCTGATGAACAAAGATGTCAGTTTGAGGACTAAGGTGCGCCTGACCCAAGCCATGGTATTTTTTAATAACCTCATATGCATGGAAAAGTTAGACAGTGAATAGGAAGACTGTAGAATTGATGCATTTGAGTTATGGTGTTGGAGGAGAATATTGAAATTACCATGGACTGCCAAAAGAAAAAATAGATCTATGTTGAAAGTAGTACAGCCAGAGTGAGTCTAGGAAGCCAGGATGGCCATACTTTGTCTTTCATACTTTGCACATATTGTCAGGAGTGACCAGTCGTTGGAGAACAATATCGTATTTGATTAAGTAGAGGGTTGGAGAAAAAGGGGAATACCCCCAGTAAGGTGGATTGGCACATTGGCAGTAGCAATGGGCTCAAATGTAGCAATGATTATAAGGTTGTCCCAGGACTAGGCAGTGTTTCGTTTTGTTGTGTGTAGGATCGCTATGAATGGGTATCGACTTGATGGCACCTAACAACAACAAGCCCTGACTTCAAGATTTTTTTCCTCACGGCACCAAAATTAACCCCCCCACCACACACACTTTTTTTTTCTTTGAAGTTTTGAAGGCATTCAAAACAAGATAAATATATTACTGAGAGAACTTGTCTGCAGGTATCCACTGATTCCAGTGATACATTTAAACATGTTTTAAAACAAACACATGCATGTGTGCACTGGAGCTCTAATAGCATTACTTTTTGATTTATCCTTGTGTTTGTGTGTGCTTGTGTGTGTGTAAGTGCAGTCTCTTAACAGATAAAATAGACAATCATCAAAGTTTTTGTTTGTTTTTTTCATGGAAATTTAAAAATAAATTATATTTCAAAGTCTTAACTCTTCACAAATATGCATTGTTAAATTTCTAAAACGATCTGTTGATTCCGTTTTCCCTCACACTTACTGAATTCTCTCTCCTTTCCTTCTTTACCAGAGTTTTTTGAAAAATCCTCTGCATTGTCAATTTTACTCTTGTTTCATTCTCTGCTCTATCCACACTAGTCTGGGTTTTGCTCCCACCCTCTATAGTCTCGTTGGAAAATGAACTCATTGGTTCCAATCAAGGGAGCTCACTCTGAGTTTCTCCTTTGTTACTCTTTTTGTTATTTCTGCTTTTGTAAACCATTTCTAAACTGTTTTATAACAGTTTGGAATGAACATAAATTATGTATTAAAAATTCACTTTGTTTTTCTTACTGGAATTTTTATGTTCTTTGCTCCTCAAGTCATAACCTGTCTGCTTGCTATACAAACCTTTGACCACTGTTTTTCAGCCTGTTTTTTTCTGCTGAAGGCATGGTATTTAAACAAATTATGGAAAATGTTAATGATTGCCCAGTGTACTTAGCTACATGAAAAATTATCAAAAGTTTGCCACATTTGTTTCATTCTCTCCTGTTTTTCTTGGCTGGAATATTTTTATTCATATCCCAGACATCATATCATTTCTCCCAAAAGATGGATAATAACTATTGCTGTTTCCTTCACTCTGTCCCTGACCTTCTTTTCTCATTATACCTGATTTTTTTAAAGGAAATTTCATTTATTCCTGTGGCTTCACATATTCTATTGCTTTTTAAATTCATATTGTTTATATAGACCTCTCACTTGTACTGTTCTTGTTGTTAAGTGATGTTGAGTCTATTTCAACTCAGAACAACCATATATGTTGGGTTTTTGAGGAGTGACTGCTGAGTTTAAACTGCCAGCCTTGCGGTTAGTAGTCCGATGTGTATGCTATAGTGCCACATCAAGCCTCTTAACTTGTACTATAGATGAGTAAGTTTATTTTCCTAATACATTTCTACAGTCAGATATTTTATAGTTATAAAACTAATATCGTTCTCACTTTTATACCTGTTTTTCCCTTTATTTTTAAACTTCTCCTTATATAATTTAAGAGTCTTGGTATGGTGCTGTGGGTTAATGCGCTGGACTGCAAAGTCAGTGGTTCAAGCTCACTGGCCATTCCTCAGAAATCCTATACAGGGTCACTATGAGTCTGAACCAACTCGATGGCACTTACCAACAACATATATCATTTGCCGCCACTTGTTTGTCCGTTTATTGTACTGTTGTGGCTTATATGTAGTGTTGCTGTGATGCTTGAAATTATGTTACTTGTATTTTAAATATCAGCAGGCTCACACATGGTGGATAGGTTTCAGTGACGCTTCTGAGGAGAAATGGACCACTTCTGAGGGATTGGCCACTGAAAACCTTATGAATAGCTGTGGAACATTGTCTAATACAGTGCTGGAAGATGAGCCCCTGGGTTGGAAGGCATTGAATATATGACTGGGTCAGAGCTGCCTTCTCAAATTAGAGTTGACCTTCATGATGTGGATGGAGCAAAGATTTCAGGACCTTCATTTGCTAGTGGGGCACAACTCAAAATGAGAAGAAACAGTTGCAAGCATCCATCATCTGACTGGACTGTATGAAATCTGAATCTTAAGAAAATTGGAAGTCATCAAAAATGGAATGGAATGCATAAAAGTCGATATTCTAGGTATTAGTGAGTTAAAATGGACTTTGAATTGGACAGTTGTGGTTTACTGTGCCAGAAATGAACAAATATAGAGGAATTGTTTTATTATGTGCTGTCAGTTCGTACCTATAGTAACCCTGTATAGGGTTTCCGAGGAGCAGCTGGTGAACTTGAACTGCTAACCTTGCAGTTCAAACAGCAAAGGAATGGCATTTATTAATTGTCCAAAAGAACATCTCAAGATCCATCTTGAAGTACAAGGCTATCTGTTTAGCTAATATCCATATGCCTACAAAGAAGACTAGTTAATAGTACTATTCAAATTTAAGCACTAACCATTAAAACTGCAAAACAACATCTTCAAAGTGTTAAAGAGCAAGAATACCATTTTGAGGACTAAGGTTCGCCTGGCCCAAGGCATTGTATTTTCAGTTGCCTCATTCATGTGAAAGCTGGACAATGATTAAGGAAGACCTTGAAGAATTGATGTATATTGAAAGTACTTGAACTGTCAAAAGAACAAACAAATCTTTTTTGGAAGAAGTAGAGCCAGAATGCTCCTTGGAGGCAAGGATGGCAGTGCTTTGTCATTCAATACTTTGTCATTTGTACTTTGAACATGTCAGGAGGGACCAGTCCCTGGAAAAAGACATCATTGCTTGGTAAAGTGGAGGGTCAGCATAAAAGGAAGAACCTTAATAAGATGTATTGATAGTAGTGGCAACAATAGTGGTCTTTTCTCCCACAGAGCACGTGATGGCTTTGAACCACCTGCCTTTTGGTGGTTAACTGACTGCTTAATCATTGAGCCACCAGACCTCCTTCTGCTTTGTATTTTTGTTGCTAAGTGTCATAGAATCAGTACCGACTTATAGCAACCCTGTATAGGGTTTCCAAGGAGCAACTGATGGGTTTGAACTGCAGGCCTTATGGTTTGCAGTCCAATGCTGATCCTACAGTGCCACACCAGAAGTCATCCTGTACTTTGTATAGCATATATTCATTCAGACACTAATCTTATTCAAAATATTAAACTTTTTTTTTTTTAGGACCAGTTTGGACAACATATAAAATCAGAGGTGCACTTGAATTTCTGTGTTTATTATGGTCCTGATCGTATTAGAGATCCAGCTCTGCTTTCAAAACAGGATATAGTTTTGACTACATATAACATTTTAACTCATGATTATGGGGTAAGTATGCTTTTGCTTTAATTTTTAAAGGGTTTTTAAAATATGTTACAAAGTGTTGTGAAAGTCATACTTAATAAGGTCTTTCTTTTTAAATACTTAGGAATGTATAGAAAATTATTAAGTATTTAGCATTTTGTAAAAAGAATTGTACTTTATAGAAATATTTTTAATTTAGAATATTAAGTCAGATTTTTAAATTCTTATCACTTATGTATTTTTAGCAGTTTATAGTTTTATTTTCTTTTTCAATATATTAATAAAAGTTTGTGTAAAATGTCATTGAATGATACTGGAGTTTTTCTGTAAACTTTGAAGCCCCATAATCTGTTTGTGAAAGTGAGCTTTTATTTAGCAGTAGTAACATAACACTGCCTAAATATGAATGCTGGTTCTGCCATTACCCAGCTCTGGTAATTTGAGCGACTTAATGCCATGGTGAGTTAAGTAGCTCAAATTTTCTCATCTTTTAGCAGGGATTATAGTAGTTCTGTCTTCATCAGTATATGGGAATTCAATGATTTAATTAATATGGATACCAGGGTGCTTCAAAGAAATTGTGGGAAAATCCCATTATCTTTCAATTCCAGTTTTCAATGACCTTGAAATCTCTTCGTATATACCTGGTACATGGAAAGTGCTATCAAAGTGTTTGTTGATATTAAAGTATAATAACTTGTTATTTAGCAAACGACGTTAAGTACTATTTTACTCCTCTGTGTTTTTAATTAGTTCATATCAAAAAATTTATTTCAGACTAAAGGGGACAGTCCATTACATAGCATAAGGTGGCTAAGAGTGATCCTGGATGAAGGACATGCCATACGAAATCCAAATGCTCAGCAGACAAAAGCTGTGCTTGATTTAGAAGCAGAAAGAAGATGGGTATTGACAGGTAATCATAACAGGAGGTTTTTGTTTTTCTATGAGTTAATGCTCCAAAATGTATTAATTTTGTGAAATTAATTTGTAAGCTTCAAGTGAATATAAAATCTGTCCCAAAGTTAATCATGTCACTTAATAAAAAGTTTTCACTTGTGTTTCATAACTGTACGTTACAGCAACATTTGATTCAAAGTTAATTCTTGTCATAATTAATAGAATTATTCTTGAACCTTGGAAATTCTCTAATCAGAATTTTTACTGACTTGTTATCCATTTGGGAGTCAGTTTACTGCTCATGACATTTAGTAGTAAATGAGGAAGAGAATATAAACTCGAACACGTTTTTTCCTTGCTATTGTGGCTGATTTAAAAACCAAATAATCAAATATTGACAAGACATTAACTTTACTGGGTAAAATTAGGAATTTAAGTTTGTGGTTTTTTTTTTTTTTTATTGTTGCGATTTGAGACCTAAAGAGTAGAGCAAACTTAGAATTTGAGATTGTGTATACAAACGGGCATCAAAAGTTTGAGAAAAAAATCCCATTATCTTTCGATTTCATGGTCTATAAATTATTTGAACTCCCGTCATATATTTAATGAGAGATTATAGTCACATCTTGCTAATCAGCTGGTATGCCTTTGACATAGTGCCAGTTTTCAGCTGGTATTGTCTCTGGACTAGATGAATATTCTGGTTAGATAAATTGGTTAGAGGGTTATGATCGTTGCTTATTATTTTTTAGGTACTCCAATCCAGAATTCCTTAAAGGATTTGTGGTCCCTTCTTTCTTTTTTAAAACTGAAACCATTTCTTGATAGAGAATGGTGGCACAGAACAATACAGCGTCCTGTTACCATGGGAGATGAAGGTGGACTTAGGTAGGTCATAGCATCCTAGCTGATGAATATTAGCTACAAATAATTTCTGTTAACAGATTACACTGATAGCAACTTCATTACTATTTTAATTTGAATATTCCTCTCCAGAATGTGTTCTTGACTTAGTGCCTTTGACTGTGATAACTTACTGGTTTATTGTTGTTGTTGTTATTAAGTACCGTGGAGTCAGTTCCGAATCATAGTTTCGGAAACCAGGGTTTCTGAGGCTGTAAATCTTTACGGGAGCAGAACGCCTCATCTTTCTCCTCCGGAACCATTGGTAGTTTTGAACTGCCGACCTTGAGGTTAGCAGCCCGATTCGTAACCACTCTGCTACCAGAGCTCCTTAGGGGAAAGATGACTATCACTTAATTAAAAGCTTCCTCTCCCCTTAACTGACTCCACGGTACTTAACAATGACAAAAGCTAATGTGGTTCAGTTTTTTTGTTTTT